TGGGAAGGTGGCTCAGTGGTAGGGTGCTTACCTTGCATGCATGAGGCCCTGGGTTTGATTCCTCAGCACCACATAAACAGAAAAAGCTGGAAGTGGTGCTGTGGCTTGAGTGATAGAGTGCTAGCCTTGAGTTCAAGCCCCACAACCAACAACAACAAAAAAAAAAGAATTTTTAAAGATTGTAATGAACTCAGAACTAAGTTTTGTGTCAGAAAAATTTTATTCTCCTCAGAGTTTTAAAATTTAGCTCTCTGAGCATTTAGGTTTTTGATCCAATGTTGAGGATTTTTTTGTTGGTGGTGGTCATGGGGCTTGAACTTGGGGCCTGGGCCCTCTCCCTGAGCTCTTGTGCTCAAGGCTAATACTCTACCATGTTGAGCCACAGCACTACTTCTGGTTTCCTGGTGATTAACTGGAGGTGAGTGTCACAAACTTTTCTAACAGCTGGCTTCAAATCACAATCCTCAGATCTCAGCCTCCTGAGCAGCTAGGATTACAAGCGTGAATCACAGTACCTGGCATTGAGCTAATTTTTATATATGCACATGTGTGGTAGAGACTTGAGAATAACTTTTTAAATGTAACTGGAATAGTATAGCAACAATTTTGTCAACAATTTTCTGGTTTTATCAAGGCTAGGGCTCTACCACTTGAGCCACAGCTCCACTTCTGGCTTTTTTGGTGACTAATTGGAAATAGGGTCTCACAGACTTTCCTTATCAGGCTGGTTTTGAACTATGATCCTCAAATCTCAGCCTCCTGAGTAGCTAGGATTACAGATGTGAGCCACCAGCACCTGACATCACATCCTTTTTGGAGGTTGGTTGTGGGGCTTGAATTCAGGGCTTGGGCACTGTCCTGGAGCTCTTTCACTAAAGGCTAGCATTCTACCACTTGGAGCCACAGCTCCATTTTTAGTTTTCTGGTGGTTAACTAGAGATAAGAGTCTCAGAGACTTTCCTGCCTGGGCTGGCAGGATCTCAGCCTCCTGGGTAGCTAGTATTATAGGCATCAGACACCAGCCCTGGCTTACCATATCCTTTCTATGAAATTTTTTTACAGTAAAGTCTTTGGGAGACAATAATAAAAACGGCACCTGGCTCAACATTTGTATTTTTAGTTGCATTTTACAAAGTGTTGGGTAGGTTTTAATGGAAGAATTTACCTGTCCGCTTCTTATGATGGAAGGCGGGATTGAGAAGAAGAACCCAGCTCTCACTCCTTCCATGGCTATGGATGGCCGACCATCAAACGCATGCAGCAGTACCTTGTCAGCACCTCCCAAATGAAAGACATACCAGAGGTCTAGTTCATTTCCTTAATAAGAGGTCTGTCTCCAATCAAACCCCAAAGGAGATCTGAAACCTTAAGTGGATGTTTTTCCCTAGGAACTAACGATGAGATTCTATGCCTTCTAAAGTGTAAGTATATAGTGTACAAAGAGTAAAAAAATACACTCAACCTTCGGAATATAACTATTGAAATTGAATCATAAAATTTAAATTATTATTTAAGCTTCATATACCATCGGATTTTTTCTGTGTTTGTGAATTGTCAAATTATTGTTTTTAACAGAATTTTAGGCAGTCAAGCTGATTTTTCCAACAAAAAAATGGTAGACGAAAGAGTCAAATGACTCACAAATTAAATAGTCAAGAGTTGGCCTCAAAAACACCAATTCAAGTGGGTACTGGTGGCTCACACCTGTAATCCTAGCTACTCAGGAGGCTGAGATCTGAGGATCAGGGTCAAAGCCAGCCTGGGCAAGAAAGTCCTTGACACTCCTACCTCCAAAAAAACCACTAGAAAACTGGAAGTGACACTGTGGCTCAAAGGGGAGAGTGCTCACCTTGAGCTGAAGAGTGCAGGGACAGTGCCCAAGCCCAGAGTTCAAGCCCGACGACCGACAAAAAGCAAACAATTCAAGCTCCTTTGCTTATGTGATGTTGGGGATCAACAAACCTGGCCTGTCCTAAGTAAGCTCTGTACCACTGGGCTATACTCTTAGCCCTACCAACTTGTTTCTAATGGATAGTTACTCTAAATTAAAAACCATGGTTTCAGTAATTTCTGAAGAGTTTAGTATTCATCATTGAGAATACAACACTTTCCTGGGTCAGCCAATTACATTATTATTTGATTATGTTTTTCCAATGGTGAGCTGAAACCACAGTGAGTCATGTAATCAGTTTAGGACACAAGCAACCAATGTGTGCTCTTGTAAGCACAAACCTATACACTGACATGTACTCCTGTGAATTTTTGTATAGATGAGTCTTAAAATGCCATGGGTGGCATTGTTTTGAAGTCTGAATAATGATGTATGAGATGTATGCTTGCACTGGGAGCAGCTTGGGATGATCCACTGCACTTCTATATGGAAGAGCCACATTCTGTATCACTTATTATCTGTAGCAATAGCCAGAAAACACACATATATAATAACAGTGACCCAAGGTGACTGCGGTGGGTGCCCTTCCTTGCCTATTTTTGCTTTCTCATTAATAAGGTGATTTAAACATCAGAGATGCTAATTTTTAAATTAAGGAATTTAAACCAGGAACAGGTGACTCATGCCTGTAAGTCTACCTACTCAAGAGATAGAGATCTGAGGGTCAAGGTTTGAAGCCAGCCCAGGCAGACAAATCTATGAGATTCTAATTGTCAATGAATCAGTAAAAAAGCTAGAAGTGGAGGTATGGCTCAAGTAGAAGAGCACTAGCCTTGAGTATAAAAACCAAATGAGAATGTAAGGTCCTGAGTTCAAGCCCAGGTACCGGCAGACATACACACAAAAAATTTTTTTAATTACTTGATTGAAGTTTTTATTTGCTCTTTCCTGGCCTGATAAATGTATAAAATCCTTGTAAACACTAGTCTGATGGGCAAGATCACCTTAGTTGATTTCTACCTCTACTCTTGCCCCATTAAGATTAAAATATAGTTTTCTCTATGGAATACTGAACTAAAATTGTGAAACTTGAACATTAGGCACCATTTTCTCTAAATACCTTGTTCATGTAAGAGGCTGATAGTAGGTCTTCCAGCTGAGCGTGAGTGGACATTTCTGTTTAACAACAACATTCTTTTTAATTTTGAAAATACTGCTTAAACCTTAAGTATTACAAAAATATTATTTTAATGTTTAAAATAATGCAGAGAAAAAGGCATAGGGCTCCATTTCAGGAGGACTCTGTGATTATTATTTAATTTGCTTTTTTTTTTTGCTGAACTTGGGGCTTGAACTTTTTGGGGCTTGGGCACTGTCCCTGACTCTCTTTGTGCTCAAGGCTAGCACTCTACTACTTGAGCCACAGGGCCACTTCCGGCTTTTTCTGAGTAGTGTATTGGAGATAAAAGTTTCAGAGACCTTCCTGCGCAGGCTGGCTTCAAACTGCAATTCTCAGATCTCCGCCTCCTGAGTAGCTAGGAATACAGGCATGAACTACCAGCATGCTCTCAAAAAACCAATTCAAGCTCCTCAATACCACATAAACAAACCTGCCCATGATAGGTAAGCTCTTCACCACTAGGCTATAAACTCATTCCTCCTAACTCCAGTTTCTAAAGGATAGTTACTCACTCTGAATTAAAAACCATGCTTTTTTGCTATTAGCACAGAAAGATGATTAATTAACCTACAAAGGCAAGTTTAGTCTTTTGGCTAACTGGACCTGTCTGATTAAGACTTGTCTTTGCTCTTCTTTCTGTTCTTGAGTGCCAGCAAATCTGGGGGAGAAATCTAGTCCAACCTATAACAGAAAAAGAAGAGAATTAGACCACCCCTCAAAGAGGTACTAACACCTACTAAAGATATAACATGAGCCACAAATGGGAGCCACATGTGGCTTTCTACTTTCTAGTAGTCACATTAAAAATAACAAAAATGAAATTAATTTAAATAATATCCTTTAACCCACTAGATCTAAAATATTACTTAATTTGCAATCAATGTAAACATTTGAGTTATTTTACATCTTTTGGGGAGGGAGAACTAAAAGTTTGAAATCTAATTTTAGCACATCTGAATTTAGAGCACTCATATTTCAAGGGTTCACCGCACTGGACAGTAGAGTTCAGATATCTACTTTCTTTGATACAATTTTCGATGCATTCTATAACCTACGTTCTAAATTTAATCATTATTCTTACCTTTTATCTTCAATAAGAAATGTATTTTTACTAAATGATTAAAATTACCATTATAATTTAAACAAAATGGTCCTTAGTTGAAAATGCTAGTCTTCTTAAACTTGCTTTAAAATTACTTGTAAACATATATATATGTATGTAATATATATATATAATATATATATATAAAATTTCAACTCACCAGAGCAATAACCCATATTTAGTTTAAACAAAAGAAATACTCTTAGCTTGGATTTTTCCTTCTAAGATAAGCCTATGTTAGGCTTTATATAGTTTCATCCCCAAACATTCTTGTTTTTTTTTTGCCAGTCATGGGCGCTGTCCCTCAGCTCTTCAGCTCAAGGCTAGCACTCTACCACTTGAGCCACAGCGCCACTTCTGGCTTTTTCTGCTTATGTGGTGCTGAGGAATCGAACCCAGGGCCTCATGCATGCAAGGCAAGCACTCTACCACTGAGCCACCTTCCCAGCCCTCATCCCCAAACATTCTTGCTTACTGACAAAATACCAGTAAGTTATTAGTTAGCTGAAGCAAGGTGAATATAATTATCCAAGTCAGTGACAGTCACTAAAACTGAACTAAGGGCTACTCTCATATGTCATATGCAGATCTAGATTAGAAGTTATTTTGTCAGCTGATGGGTCTTTACCTCTCCAATTGCCAACAACCGATCCTTATAATTCTCAATAATAGGTAAAGCTACATCCAAATCCTAGGAGAGAAAAAAATTGTATTTGTTAATATACAAAGAGAAAAGATGTAATAGTCAATAAGCATCTATTATGTGCCTATGCTACACCAGTGCTTCACATACATTTAATACATTGTGACTAGCTCTACCTATAAATCTAAGTAAAAACACACCACACATTTATCCAGGTTATAAAACTATGACTTGTTATGAAGATTTCCACTACACATTGCCTCCTGTGTAGGAGGCTTCTCTGACATGAGGTATGATTTGGATTTCTTGGAACAGCTGAGAAAAGTGAGCCACCAGGTGGACACTGCACTTGAGCTTGGGGGATGCCCTGTGTTCTGCTCCCTTAGAGTACTACTGGTAATGAGTTTATAGTAGCAATAATCTCATACTTCCTCTGTTCTTTATTTCACTGATCTCTTTTGTCTTTATGGTCTACTGAAGGAACCTTGTACACTGGACTTTATTCATACCACCTTTCTCCCATGTAAGAGTATCAACCCAGTCACAGTTCACTTCTCAAGCAGGGAAAAGCCAGTCATATGGAAAATGGCTTGTGGGTAACTTTTAAACTGCTTTGTGGGGGAAAAAAGTTGTAATTGTTTTCCAAATAAGGAAAAAAACTACTTTGTAAATTTTATTTCTATAATATGTGCACTGCAAAGTACTTCTACTGAGGATCATCAGAACAAAAGAGAGTTAAGAATAAGGAGGTAAAAATATAGTAGATAGCCCTCATTTCCTATGTTTATTATATTTTAAGACTCTACAAATTAGCTAATAATTTATATAATCCTGAACCTCTAGATTATTTCAGTTTTTCTCTACAACCAACAATATCATAACAAACATCTTTAGGAAAGATGGGGGAGTTCTTTTCTTTTGGATTATTTTTCTTAGAATATAAATTAGAAAGCAGGGCGCCGGTGGCTCACCCCTGTAATACTAGCTACTCAGGAGGCTGAGATCTGAGGATCACGGTTCAAAACCAGCTCGGGCAGGAAAGTCAGTGAAACTCTTATCTCCAATAAACCACTAGAAAACCAGAAGTGGCCCTGTGGCTTAAGCGGTAGAGTACTTGCTTGGAGCGGAAGAGTGCAGGGACAGTACCCAAGCCCAGAGTTCAAGCCCCACAACCAACAACAACAACAAAAAAGAATATAAATTAGAAATAGGAAGGTTACTAGGGCAAAAGTTATTATTTTTAATGGTTTTTGTTTTGTATGACTGGTTACCTTTAATGTGACACTTCTTTGGTCTTCTGGTGAAAGTCCTTGAACTGGGTGAACACCCAAACATGGCAGGATGAACCCTTTGTACCTAAAAATATAGAACAAATTAAGAAGCAGGAACAGTTTTCTAGGAGACTATAATGTTACTTGAACAAATACAAAAAACTCTCTTTTTAGGGCTATGGTGTTGTGCCCTTCTCCCATCCTCATTCTCTTTCAAAACATATCTGAGTGGCTCATATCTGTAATCATAGCTACTCAGAAGGTTGAGATATAATTACTGCAATTCAAAGTCAGCCCAGGTAGGAAAAGTCTCTTGAGACTCTGAGACTTCAATTAACCACAAAGAAGCAGGAAGTAGGGGTATGGCTCAAGTGGTAAGAATGCCAGTTCTGAGCAAAAAAAAGCCAAGTGAGGACAAAAGGCCCTGAGTTCAAGCCCCAGTATGGACACAAAAATAAAATGGATCTTTGACATTGTAAATCAAGCAGTAGATTATTAGAAGTTCTTTTTCTTTCTTTCTCTTTTGGCAGTACTGGGACTTGAACTCAGGACCTGGTGCTATCACTTGAGCCATGCCTCCTGACCTATCAAGAGCTTTTTTTTGTGGGGGGGGGTCCAGTCGTGGGGCCTGAACTCTGGGCCTGGGCGCTGTCCCTCAGCTCTTCAGCTCAAGGCGAGCGCTCTACCACTGAGCCACCTTCCCAGCCCCCAGGAGCTCTTTATAATCATGAAATCTTGTGATGGCAGCCATCTATAGAGTTTCAGTGTTTGAAAGGCTAATGGGTGAAAATTGCCTGAATCTGTGAATTCAAGACGTACTTGGGCAATACAGAAAACAAAACAAAATTCTTAATTAAAAGTAGCACCTTTCTGAAAGTTGTATAATCTTTTCAAATTCTCCTGAATGTTCAGCAACTGCCACAAGGGCCATAATGTTGGCCTGAAAAAGAGAAATGGAGACACACACACACACACACACACACACACACACACAGAAAGGGGGGCGGGGGGGAAGGAAGAGAGCCAAATAATTCTTATGTTTCATATAAATAAATAAACATTTAGAGTTTCTGTATATTTTATTATTCCTGTTCACCCAAGCTCTAGTAATAATATAAAAATGGCAACCACTGAGTACTTACTATGTCTGGGCCCTGAATATAATGCTATCTCATTGAATTTGAGTTGAATTCAGAAGTCACAAGTAATTGAATCAAAAGTCAGAGTTCTGGATAGAGTCAAATCACATGCCTAAAGTCATTAGGCCTATGTGATTAATTAGGGCACAAAGCCCATACACCTAATGAATGAACCTCCACAGTAAAACCTGGCTATATGTAAAAACTGGCAACCCCTTCAAGGATCTGTCATTTTCTGAGAAGAGCCAAATTGCTAGCTGCAGTTAACTTCATGAACACAACTAAAATAAGCCTCATTTTTTCTAACAAATCAAAATGTTTGAGATAGTTTTTACAATATATCCCAGATCTCCCTAATGCTGTGGATTTAAGAAATAACAGATGCACCAATCCATTCTTTAATGTGAGTAAGCAAGGTAGCCATAGGAATGTGTTTTGTTGCCCCCCCCGCAGGACTGAGGACAGAACCCAGGGCCTTGCCCGCACCAGCCGGCGCACTTCCGCTGGGCTAAACCCCCAGCCCCAGGAACTTGTTTTGAACTCATACTAACCTGTCCTCTATCCCTTCACTACTTTGTGTCTTGAGACTAGTTACAAATTTCTAGGCCTTAGTTTCATCTATCAAACAGAGCTGTAAAATAGTAGCTTTCTCAGAAGTCTTAGATTAGTGCCTAACAGATAGTAACTACTTATAAATGCTAGTTGCTTATCATATGGTAGGGATGTAACCACATAATATCAAGCTAAAATAACTTGAAAGTAGCAGAGAGCAAAAACAAAAAAAAAGGAGGGCAATTTTATAGATACTGACTTACTTTCTTGGCTTTCTCCAACACATCATCCAGATCCTAAAATAATCATAAGTAATCACAATTATTTTAGGCGAATAAGCAACCTGTCTTTGGCTGTGTATATAAATGTAGTTGAGACATCATAAAAGTGGATAAAAGTGAAGAGACTACACTGACTTAGCTCCTCTTTACTCTTTCAGTAGTCTGGCCCTTGCTCCTACTGCATTAAATAGATGCCTCTAATAACAAAGGACACTTCTCTGTCTCTCTCTTACTCCACTCCACTCTTCAGCAGCTTTTGGATCCCTCAATTATCTACTCTTTGCTACTTGTCCTATTTCCCATTCTTGGCTTCTACAACTTCATCTCTCCCTGGTGGTTACTTTCCAGTCTCCTTGACTGGCTCTCCTCTGTCTTTCTGATTTGGGGGCCCTCTGCTCTTCTCTCTACACTTGCCTGAAGTGATTTCATCTATTCTCGTGGTTTTACATATCATTATGTAGAATGCCCAACTTCTACCTGTAACTTTTAATTCTCCCCCGAAATCATAATTCACATTTAAAAACGGTTATGTAATCTCTCCACTGTGGTGGGATCAGGCTTTCCAATGTGTCCTGATATAAATCTTCTCTCCCCACAAACTCTCCCTCCTGCCTACCTTCCCAGTTCCATTCATTCTTGGTCTTCATTTCTGTAAACAGCTCCAAGGTCCTCCCTAAAGCACAAGCTAAACATCTGAGTCATCTTAGATCCTGCCTTTATATTTGCTTCCATATCTAATTTCTCAACAGGTACTGCGGATTTCATTTCTAAAATAGACCTTGAAGCCAGATGCTGATGGCTCATGTCTGTTATACTAGCTAGTCAGGAGACTAAGATATGAGGATTACAGTTCAAAACCAGCTCCCGCAGGAAAGTCCATAAGGCTCTAACCTCCAATTAACCATCAGAAACTGGAAGTAGTGCTTTGGCTCAAAGTGATACAGTGCTAGCCTTGAGCAGAAAAGCTCAAGAGACAGCACCCAGGCCCTGAGTACAAACCTAACAATGGACAATAAAATAAAATAAAAAAAGAATATGTATCTTGAATACATTTATTTCCCTCAGATTCCCCTGCTGTCATCCTGGTACTTAACCATTATAGTGCCAAAGCTTCTTAATTGTCTATCATCCATTTCCCACACGCCAGAAAAATGGTCTTCAAATGGATATTCGATCTTGTCAGCTTTCCCCGCCCCCTCTTTTACCACCAGCTTTTGTTAACAACAGAAACCTTAATGGATTTGAGTTGTGCTTCTCGTGTGATCCAAATTTATTATAGATTTATGTCATACATCCCCTACAAAGTTCTCCAGTGTCGTTTCATTCCATTATTTTTCTACTTCTTCAGGGTCATCCAGCTTTATGGTAACTAGGCCAAATTCTATCCTGTCTAGCAGAGGGTGGAGAGCGAGGGGTTGGGAGGGGCTACCACCTGCCTGCTTTCCTTACCCAGTAGTCATCCCTTTGCTTGGCTAACTGGCTCCCTAGCCTTAAATATCACCTCCTAAACTTCCCCCCTGAAACACCTACTTCTCAATTATCTTTTGTTTGCTAACTCAGTGTGTATAATCGTGTGTTTCTGTGTTTTATTCTTTGGTTTGCTTCTCTCCCCCAGTAGACCTGGAGTTCACGTGTCTCAGATGAGGAGTCCGGTAAACGGAGGGCTGGAATAAACAGGGGAGACAGGGGAAAGGGCTCCAGAAAGCACAAGCACAAGCTCTGTGGAGATCAGAAAGAAGAATCAGTTAGGATGAAGTGTAACAAGAAATCCGTCAGGTCGCCGAGAGGCAGAGAGCAGGGCCTCTGAGAAGATAATCTGGGGTAAGGGCCGGGACCTCCCCACTCCCCCGAGTCTCGCCCCGCTCTCACGTACGCTGTCAAAGTCCGGGGCAGAGAGATGGCAGTGGCAGTCCACCAGGCCCAAGCCTACCGCCCTCATGACAGCTCCTGAGACACGCCTGCGAGTCGGGCCGGAGAGCCGGCTGGACCCAGCACTGGAACCGGAAACGGCACCGGAACGTGGTGGCGGTAGCGGCTGGTGTTTCCGGCCGGACGCACGCTCCTGGCACCACCAGGAACTCTTCCTTCCGCTTCCGGAGTCCCCGCCCACAGTTCAAACGGGGAAGATGGCGGGTTTTCCCGGGGTTGTGGATTCCGCTACTCCGCAGGACGAAGAGACCGTGGCCGGGACGGCCCGTCAGGCCTCGGCCTCGGCCCGTCCCCGAGAAGACTTCCGAGTGCTCTGCACCTCGAAGCGGGCCGTGGCGGAAGTGCTCGAGCTGTGCGGCCGCTTTGTGCAGCAGCTCGGGGACGCGCTGCCGGAGGAGATCCGGGAGCTGGCGCTGCGGGACATGCAGTGGGTACGGGCCGCGGCCGCCCTCGCTCGATCCCTCCCCACCCCACACCCCGGGACCCTGGTTTGACCTCTCTACCCCAGGCCCCAGGAAGGACCCTACGTCGGGGTAGTTCCAGGGGTCCCCCTGCGTTGTAAACTGGAGCCCGAGAATCGCGAATGGGGAGGAGGACATGGATGGCCGTGTCGCCCGGTGTTATTAATTACTTAGGCCCGCGCTGTCCAGTAGACATACAATGCGAGCCACACGGGTGTAATGTGAAAAGTTAGAGGAAATGGACGGAATTAACAGAAATACAGTGTGTTCTTCATTCCAGCTTGCACAGTGATAATGGACACATGAATGAGGTGTTGTGCCTGGTGCGTTTGAGACTGAGTTTCCTAATTGGTGACTTTTATTTACAGCGCATCTCCTTTCAGACTGGCTGTCGTTCTAAGTGCTCAATAAGTACGAAGTGGTTAGTGGCTTCGCTGTTCACCTGGCTTCGCTGGTGAACAGCGCAGGCATATAGACTGAGGAAGTTTTCAGGAAACGGTAATCCTGGCAGTCAGCCTGAGATCTGACTTTTGCGTATTTTGAACATCTGAATAGAGCAAAAAAAAAAGTTTAATAGGTCTAAAATAAATGAAGTTGTCTTTGGTTATAAACTTCACCAAGATCACAGCTTGGTTCTTATAACACATTTCCTCTTCTCAAACATTTTCCGAAGCCCTCAGGATGATCGTTTGGGGGAAAGACACAAGAAATGGAAGGTTTGCTCCTGATCATCAGAAAGTACACAGTATAAGTACCTAAAAGGCAGAAGCTTAATATAGTAGCATACATGCTGAAAAGATAGTATTGATAGGACTGTGCAACAAATATTACAAAGACCATTGTATTGTTGTAAGAATTCTTTTTTTTTTTTTTTTTTGGGTCCAGTCATGGGGCCTGAACTCTGGGCCTGGGCGCTGTCCCTCAGCTCTTCAGCTCAAGACTAGCACTCTACCACTTGAGCCACCGCGCCACTTTCGGCTTTTTTTCTTTTTGCTTATGTGGTGCTGAGGAATCGAACCCAGGGCCTCCTGCATGCAAGGCAAGCGCTCTACCACTGAGCCATCTTCCCAGCCCCTGTTGTAAGAATTCTTAACATTAAGAATTTTACTTTGTAAGCCAGGTGCTGGTGGCTCATACTTGTGTTCTTAGTTATCAAGATGCTGAGATATGAGGATTGAGGTTCCTAGCTAGCCCTGGCAGAACAATCTGTGAAATGCTTATCTCCAGTTAACCAGCAAAATTCAGGGCTGAGAGGTGACTCAAGTGGTAGACACAAGTGAAAAAGCTGAGCAAGACAAAGCCCTGATTTCAAGCTTCGTATCAGAACTCCCCCCAAAAAGAATTAGAATATCTGCCCCATAATTTTTATTTGATTTATTGTTTTTTAAAATTATACATGGTACAAAATGCTTGCTCATTAAAAGAACTAAACTGGTAGATCCTTCCTAGAAACTTTGGAAAGTACGGTCTCTTTGGTGTGAATTAGCCTACCTGACGTTTATGCTTTTACCCCTGTTTTTGTTTGCTTATTTGTTTATATTGAGTGCTGATATATGCTAATGAAATGTTACTAACTTTAAAACATTCCAAATATGTTTTGGCTGTTAACGTGTTAGTGTTATATACAGTTATTGTGTTTTTTTAAGCACTGCATGTTATAGATATGTAATCATTCCACTAATTTTGAATTTGGATTTTATGTTTTTTCTCAAATTTTCTTTCCGCAAACAATGTGGACATGAACATTTCAGAGTCCGTCTATCTTATGATTTATGAGAATAGTCCTTAATAATATTGCTGTTGCTGGAGCCAGTGGCTCACACATGTAATCCTAGCAGCTCAAGAGGCTGAGGTCTAAGGATTAGGGTTCAAAGCCAGCCTAAGCAGGAAAGTCCATGAGACTTTGATCTCTAACCACAAAAAGGCAGAAGTGGAGGTGTGGCTCAAGTGGTAGAATGGTAGCCTTGAGCACAAACAAACAAAACCCAACAGGAAAAAAGCTCTAAGTTCAAGCCTCAGGAACACACACACACACACACACACACAAAACACATTGCTGCAAGTGAAATAGAGAACTGCACTAAAAAAAATGTAACGAAGCCAGGCAGTGATGGTTCAAGCCTGTAATCCTAACTATTCAGAAGGCTGAAATTTTGAGTATTGTAGCTCAAAGCCAACCCAGGCAGAAAAACCCTTGAAACTCTTATCTCTAAAACAATTACCCTAACAAGGCTGGAGGCATGGCTTAAGCAGTAAAGCACCAGCTCCACCACCAGCAAAAAAATACAACAACAAAAAGTAATGATACTGCCAAATTCCTCTAGTTATTTTGTTGAAAAAAATTTAACTCTATAAAATAGAGTAGTGAATGCCTGTATGTCCATTACCAAATGCATCAATTATCAAAATTGTTGCTCTTGATATTTTAAAGCAAGTCTCAGATGTTAGTTTATTAGATCCTACATACTTTTAGATGCATCCCTAAAAACTGTAGTTCTTTTTGTTTTGTTTTGTTTTGTTTTTGGGTCCGATCGTGGGGCCTGAACTCTGGGCCTGGGCGCTGTCCCTCAGCTCTGCAGCTCAAGGCTAGCACTCTACCACTTGAGCCACAGAGCCACTTCCGGCTTTTTTCTTTTTGCTTATGTGGTGCTGAGGAATCGAATCCAGGGCCTCATGCATGCAAGGCAAGCACTCTACCACTGAGCCACCTTCCCAGCCCCCCCCTTTTTTTAATGTGACAAGTGTTAAACATTCTTTATTTGGCATTTATACATAAACCACACTAAAATGCCTTTCAATAAGTAAAAGGTAGATTTCAGAGACAGTGAATTCTAATTAAATTGGCATAGTCAAGACCAAAAATGTAGACATTGCTTCCTCAAGTTCAGCCATTGCCTTTAACAGGTTAATGATCACAAATTCAAACAGGTTAATTTTGCTTGAATCTTAGACAGTGAAGAGATTTCCCCAGTATTTAAAGATGTTCTCATAATTAGCTATATAAATCTGAATATAAAACCAGTGTTTTCACAGATTTGGAGATGGTATTCCCTATCTTGCTAAAAAATTGAAAATAGTCTAATATAACAGAAAGGGGAAAAAAAGACAGTCTTTTTTTCATGATCATACTCAACCACAAGCCAGTTTTACTTAAATCACGACTGCCAAAATATTCTGCCAGCCATTCTGATATGAGAGATCTGAAGTCTGATATGAGAGATCAATTGAATTATGGTACACATTAAAAAGCCATGAGACATTTGCAATAAATAAATAAGGCAGTGGCTATTATTCATTTGTTGTTGTTTTGAGATAAGCTGCCCTTTCTCCCTTCTTAATGCCCTAAAGATCATTTTTGTTCCAGGGATGTACTTTTTGGGATTCTCCAAATACTCCATCAGTATATCCTCTCTCAGGTGATGCCTTTGTTCTTGTTGGCATCTGTGTAAGTGAATCCAGCTGCTTGAACTGTCTGTCTTCCGACCAAATAGACCATGGAGATAAGGCCATCTTTTGCTTGCCTCCCTTTTCAGCGGTGTGGCACTAGGCACACTTCTGAACAAAAATCTTCTTGCCTTTCTCAATGTCACTCATTTTAAATTCACTCTTTTGTCACTATCACAAGAAGAATAGCCCCAAAGCCAGACGTTCCATTTTCTAAAAACTGTAGTTCTTTATAAAGTTAGTTATAAGGAAGAAGTTATCTTTACTGTTTTGTTTTTTGGCTAGGACTAGAGTTTGAACCTAGGACTTTAAACTTGCTCAGCTTGGTTGCCCAGCTGACACTCTCCCACTGAGTCACAGTGCTGCATATTTTTCTTGAGTAAAGTCTATACTGTGTGGCCCAGTCTAGCTTTGAATTTAGGATCCTACTCCCTCAGTCTCTTGAGTGCTGGGATCACAGGCACCCAGCTAATAATTTTACTTTCTTTTAAGCATGTCTTGTTGACTCTCAGCAGTATATATACTGTACTGCTTGTACCCCTGATTCAACTGAACTGGGCATTATTAGCTTTTAGTTTTTCCTTGCTAATGTTCATTTTTATTGTTCATAAGAATATTCTAAAATTAAGTTACAAATGTTGTGGCTACTATAATGACTCCCAGCTAAGATGTAGGTAAAATCAATGATGCAGTCTTAACAAGAAGAATCATTTAAGAATCTTAAAAGAATAAACATACTGGGGGCTGGGAAGGTGGCTCAGTGGTAGAGCGCTTGCCTTGCATGCCTGAGGCCCTGGGTTCGAGTCCTCAGCACCACATAAGCAAAAAGCTGGAAGTGGCACTGTGGCTCAAGTGGTAGAGTGCTAGCCTTGAGCTGAAGAGCTGAGGGACAGTGCCCA